TTTATTTTCTAAGCTCTGGTTTTCCCTGTTAATAATTGTTATACAAACGAGTGGTACGTTTGCTACTCGTTCGTTGCTCGTCTTTGTTGTGCCGTAGCCGCCGACCTTCGTTGTTTAGCTGTTTCGCTGTTTGTGTAGGGTTCCGTTCTATACACCTTGCGACCATGCGTAATGTGGCGCGTCCGGACCCCCTCACTGCTAAAGCGCGCCCCGGCACACTTACGTCAGAGGGCCCCGTTGGCTGACGAATTTTTCGATTTTGAAAGTTGGGCTGGTTAATTAGCTTTTGCTGCACGTGCGAAAAAAAGTTGCGAAAAAATTTATTATAATCGGCTTAAGCGTCATCTAAGCTCTGTTTTCTCAAAAAGCTTTCAAAACACTGCAACACTGCCTTCGGGCTGCCAGAAAAGTGCTAAAGTATCGGAAGAGCATCAGTAATTCGAGGCTTAACTATAGTTTACCCTAAGCTACCGTATCTCGGTTCCGCGTCATCATACCGGGTAGTAAAGTATAACAAAATACTCGCCAGAGCAAGGCGAACATTTTGGTATACTTTACACATCTGTACGCCAGCAGGGGGGGGCTGAGATACAAAAGTTGTAGGTTGTAATACAAAAGTCGGCAAAGCTTGCTTACGAAAAATAAATAGCTTCGCAAATCATAAAATTACTAAACCCTTTGTAAATCACACCCAATTTCCAGAAGACGCTCGACGGCTTCCTGGCGGCCATGGAGAAGCACGCGGGCGGTGTGTCGGCCGAAGAGAAGAAGGGCTGGGAAGAAGTGTGGAAGACGTCGATGGAACATATGAAGAAGTGGGGATGGTATTGAAGCGGACATCACCGCGTCACAGCTGCTTAAATACGCAACACAACTCTCGCCCCGGCAATTTGAATTACCCTTTCCCCCCGCACCATTGATACAGGTATCACGTCCCGTTTTGTGCCTTTTTTGGGGCCCATGCATTGGCCAAAGTATAAATAATGTGTTTTGAGTGCCAGAGTGTGTAAATACAGCAATAAATGGCTGAAAACACGTTTAAATTCACGTATATGCCCGCAGAACCAAAAGTCGCGCCTTGCGTACGTACCTGCATACGCACAGACGTCGCGCTTTCGGTGCTATTGAAGATGAGGCGGTCTAATTTTCACTACAAACCGCTACAAAGGACGCTTCAAAACTTCAAGTTCATGGGAAGGCTAAGCCCAGCTTAACCCTGAGCTTGGAATTCTAGTTAGCTGATTCTAACGATGTAAAGTTTTAGGTTAATTTATCTGCTATCGAATCCCTATCGCATTGTTTCTCGGACTTTTACGGGAAATTAAATCAAATTAGGACGAGCTCGGGCCGGCGCCCCCCCCTCCTTTTCGGAGGGGCTTGGGGGGGCCCCTGGGGGGGTCGGGCTCCGGGGGGTTTTTTGTTTTGTTTTTTTTTTGGGGGGACGTTATAAATTAATCAATTATTTTTTTGGTTGGGGGGGGGGGGGGGGGTGGGCTCCCCCCCCTCCCGCCTAAATTAATTTCCCCCCCCCGCCCCCGGCCCCCCCCCCCGGCCGGGGGGGGGAGGGGGGGCCGGAGCCCGGGGCCCCCACAAGCAAAGGTTACTGTCTGCCAGAAATTAGCAAGAAATTCTGCGCAACTCCCAGAAATTTCAAAAATTCTCGACGACTACGGTTTCGGGTGAAGATTTGCTCTGAAAACGCCGAGTTTGTCCATTTGGGACCCCTTTCAAAAAAGGTCACCTTTGAGAAATTGAAAAATGGACCTTGTTCAGGATTTCGAGAATTACAGGTAGCATATACCGAATCGGCTACATATCATTCAAAAATGTCATTAATACGCTACACACCTTGCCGAAAACCTTACACTTCCACGGCCCCACAAAAAGGCACACGCGGTGATCAGCTGAGCAATGGTTGGGGCGGTGCGAAGAGGCGACTTCAAAGCCTATCCGCCCCCAGTGGACACTCAAAAATGACAAGAGTAGGATAAGGGTTTGTTTTGAGATTGTCGAGGGCCTCCCGTCTATGCTGGAGACTATTTCTAGGAAATGCGCCATGTTGCGTTAACGTTGAGAGACAGTAACACATCAAGCTATGGACATTCGGAAAAAATTGGTCCCAAAGATTTCTAGTAAAAACTGAGCCGTTTTATGAGAAGCCCTTCTGACTACTTAGTGGGACATTCCACCTTAAAGTACTCAACTAGTCAAAAAAAACTTAAACTAAAAAACTTAACTGAACTTAACTTAAAATCGTAAGTTCACAAAGTCAAAACTTTGATCAACTTTTCCATGAGCACCGTAACCCCTCAGTAGTTTTGGGAAAGAAGAAATTGCTCACAATTTGAAGCTCTATCGTATGATCTATGCCAAATTGCTAAACTCCAAAAGCACCGAAAACCACTTCGGGTTAGCTCTAACGATTTTTACATTTTCCCAAGCGCAGGGGAAAGTTTAAACCAACGTTTATGTTAATTTTAATACGCTCTAGGAGGACACAAAAAGGGACCCAAACCACGCTCAAATTGACCAAAGCTAGGTTCCGAATCTTGCAACGACTTAATTATGTATAAACGTCGTTTGGAGCATCGTGTAGTCATCGTCCAGCCCACGACCGTCCTAAATCCATGGTAGGGTCTAATCGAGTGTAAAAAGTGTTCGTCTTGGGATATCATCAGGTGCGATACGTCGTCAAAAAATTCTACATAAGTGTATTTGGACGAGAATGGTCTATCGACAACGCTGGTACGACAAAAATCAGACACAAAAAGAACGCATCATATTGGTGACAATCGGAGGAGGGCGTGTGTGGATGTTGCAATGGGGAAAAGGGGCAAAAATGTATAAATGCAGTAGCGTTCCGCCGCGAAAAATGGGTGGGCCGGTACAGGAAAAACACACACAAGGCTTCTCGTTTCCGGGAGAAAGGGCGTAAGATATCAACACGGCACTTCTATCGACATTTTGGAATCTATAGATGGAGAGATGGGGAGACTGGGCGAGGAAAAGAGCGAGAAACAGCCACAAAATTCATAGAAAAATAATAATAATATATGGTATTTGGATCGAATTACAAGGAGGTGGTGACACAACGCGTCGAGGCATTTCTTTTTCTCTGGTTTCGAGAGATGAAGGCAACGGTATCCATTTGGGGTACGAGGGGGTGGATGTTACGCGTATAAATCCGATCACCGGAACAAAAGCCTATTAGGAAAGAGCACAAAAATCTTTTTTTTAATCCCCCAATTTTCGTTTCAATTCGTTGGCGAATAGAGCACGTATATAGCGGAAAATCGACCTTACAAAATTTGCAATTTCGACGGTAATTTTTAATAAAAAACAAAAAAACCCACAAAAAAAACAACAAAAAAACAAACACCAAAAAAAAACCACAAAAAAAAAACAAAAAAAACCAAAAAAAAACCAACAAAAAAAAACCAACCAAACCCCCAAAAAAAACACCCTTAAAAAAAAAAAAACAAAAAATTATTTTTTTCCCCCATTTTTTTTTTTTTTTTTATTCTTTTTATTTTCTTTTTTTTATTTCCCCTTTTTGCCTTTCTTTTTGTCCTTTTTTTTTTGTTTTCCTTTTTTTTTGTCTCCCTTTTTTTGTTTTTGCTTTTTTTGTTTTTCTTTTTTTTTTTTTTCCCTTTTTTTTTTTTTTTTTTTTCTGGTTTTCTTTTTTTGGTTTTCTTTTTTAAATTCTCTTTTAAATATAGGTATCGAAAAAACAAAATTCATGTCGAGAAAAATCTATTTTTCAAATTCAATTTCCAGCCTAATAGCCTACAATCCCGAGAATCGCATTTACACGCGTAAAACATTGATAATTCGGGGTAGAACGGAGGGAGGGCACTTTTGGCTTTGGTAGGGGGCGGGCGAGCAAATTGCGAGATAATTCCACTAATTTTTATTTCCAACCAAACCGAGGGCGCGCTACGGTATATATGAAAGAAAGCAACATATCAAAATAGGAACGAACAAAAGGGGGGAAGCGGTTAATCACATGTAGCATTGATGCCAGGGCGGCAAACTCCTTGCGCGCGTGTTTTTTTTGGGATCAGTATAGGCGAGGAGGAGAAAGTTTAAAGGGACGGGCAAGCGATTGCTGTTGGTTTTTCGGCTATGGAATTCGGGTAGATTTTTTCGCGCTAATGACACGTGTGGCTTGGATAGGGTTGTACAGGTTTTCCAGAGCAAAACACCACTCTATCTCGATTGACGAATGTCGGCTCAGAATTCCAGTTACACCGTTCGAAAGCCCAGAAACGACAAAAATTCTCGCAAAATCGCCACAAAAATTTCAGGCTTCGATGAAAACACGAATATGAAGGGGCTTTAAAATGGTGCAACTACCATCCGGTCAGATGCTATTCTGTCAATATATAGGGTTTTTAGGAAATGCTGCAATTCATGTACGCAATGAAAATGCGGGCGTGTGCGTTGCGTGTCGCGCCGAGTCAAAATCTAGGGCGTATCTATAGCCGAAAAATCCATAGACACGCTTCCCGTCACTTTCAAGGACCGGACAGCCAAATTTTTGGATGGCAAATTTTTAAAATCGACAGGCGGCCAATTTCGAAATGGCTGCCCGGTCCCGGTTCGCGAGAGGCTGCAAATGTGGGGAATAGGAGGCTGAAAGAGGGGCTCTGTAACTGACTATACGATGGCAAGTCGACGAGACGGGAAAAGGGCACGGGACGCGACCAAGTGAGGGTATTGTGGCAAAATGGAGGGGTGAATCGGGGGGGCAAGCAAGGGTCGGGGGAAGCTAACTTGGCCGAGGCTTATCGGCTCTGTTTTTCAAAATTCGTGGGTTCAAAAATGGTTATTTTTGGCCGTAATTCAACGAAAAGCGCTGCCAAATACGACGTGCCACTTCCTTGCCCCCCGTTTGGTCCAAGTGCAAGCCGGGAATGGAGAGGTTATTACAAAGGCGCTTCGCAGAGTGTAGGGTACAGCGGGCGGGTCGAGTGGCCGTGGGGCGCTGCCGTCGGCTAGTCGTCGCCCGATTTTGCAGATTCTGCTTCCGTCTGAAAAGCAGAAGGTATGTAAGATGGGCGAAATGATGCGCTACCTTGACATCAGCTACGCTGGTTGCTGTTGGTTCCGGGGTGACGGGCGGTGCGGATGGGGGTGCTGGTGCCGAGGCAGGAGTCTAAATAAATGAAATAGATAATCACGCAGACAAATCGATCCTTTTTAGAATGAGCCAGGCCCTTCGTGTGCGGCATTTTGCGTTGTTCAGGAATCTGTTTTCAAACGATGCGGCATCAAGCTATTTTCAAAGTTACAAGCCATTTTAGCGTAGCGCAATGCAATAGCCAGGCAAAAATAGCCCGAAAACAATAACGGATGAACTAGATAGCACGTTTCGGCGTTTGTTTTTATTTTGGAAAGACCGTCACTCCGCAATTTTTTTGAAGCGGATTCAGGCTCAGTAAAAAAAATTGAGCATCAGGTAGACGTGGTACCATTTCTAGTAACATTAATTATCGCTAATCGAAAAAGTTACCGCAGTCGAGTCATCGCCAGGCGTGTCTGGCACCGTATACGTGACAAGCGGCGGCTGGACGTCGTGATCGGGTTGTGCGCCCGGTTCTTCAGCGTCGGCTTGATAACGGTTGATGAGGAAGAGCCGTTGGCCGACGCCCGATCCATCTACTTCTCCATCCACGATCACGCGTCCCTCCTCGGAAGACGGGCCACCGTTCAGTTGCTCGCTGGACTTTTCGGAACTCTGAAATTGCGTTTAAAAGGGCCCTGTTTTTGGCAATGGATATGGATGGGCCCCAGAGCTTTGGCATTTACGGGGGGACTCAAATTTTCGCGTACGTTCAGATGCGTCAAAAAAAAAAAAAAAAAAAAAAAAAAAAAAAAAAAAAAAAAAAAAAAAAAAAAAAAAAAAAAAAAAAAAAAAAAAAAAAAAAAAAAAAAAAAAAAAAAAAAAAAAAAAAAAAATAAAAAAAAAAAAAAAAAAAAACCTCTTAAAAATTTCCCTTTTGGGGCCTTAATAACGTCATACTGAGTATTTTTAATAACGCTTTTGTCCACTGGAAAGCTATTTTATGCTTCTTCTATTATATTTACATTGAAAGAAACGAGTACGAATACGAGTTATAAACGAAAAGGTTGGAATTTTGTTGAAAACGGACCCATTGCTGGTCGAAAAATAACTTTAAAACTTTGAATCCCAAGGAAAAACGTAAGCCCTCCCCGATAATGCAAAAAAACGGGGGCTTAAGTTACCTTCGAGGGGTTTTGCGCAAAGATAGGCTTGCGCTCACCTTATAGCCGACGGCTCCCATTTGGTGCATATGCTGAAGTGAAGAAGCCGCCAGCTCTTCGTCCAATTTCCTCGACGAGCACGGATACGTGCCATCGGCCACACCGTTCACCTAAAAATAACGGTCGTGGAAAAATAGAGTGGACGAGTACCGTTTGCTCGATCAACGCTGCACTGGAGGCGCTGGGCCTCGAGTTGCGATTCCGATTTGGGATCGTGGCTGCTGGGGGGACGCGAGGAGGGCTGTCTGGTGGCGGTGTGATCGGTCGCACCTGGAAAATCTACTAATCATGAGCATGGCACATATCTAGGGCAAAACCTCGCGTGCTAAATTATTTTAGCAAATTTAAAAACCAGCAAATGATCAGCATGATCTACTCCATATTTACTTCGATTTTGGCATCAATCTGATTGCAGGTAAACAACGCTGATCTGCCTCACCTGTTGATATGGCGCCGGTTCGTCATTGCCGGGCCCAATCCGACTCCTCCGCCGCGCATTCATGAAAAAGTTGGCCACGGTGGACAGGTCCAATCGCAGATGCTCGGCGATGGTTTGTTGCATTTCGCGCGAGGGCCGTTGCGTCTCCCTGAAGATGGCCTGCAACGTGCGCTTCTGGATGTCGGTGAAGACGAGCCGGGGGCGTTTGTTTGACGGTTCGCCGTCGCCTGAAAAACGATAGGTAATACCGGATCTCGGCAACGTGCTATACATCATTTTACATAATTTTTTGAAATAATTTTTTTCGTATCGATTAGATCAAGAAAAATGGATACCTAGGCCCGAATTCCGTGCCCTCGTGTGATGCCGGACGTTTTGGGCGGGCGTCGGCGGGGACATGCCCATTTTCGCAGCACCGTTTTCACCATCTGAAAAAAACGAGTTTCCGGGGTTGGTAAAAATAGCCCCAAAACAAGATAAAACCAACGAGAATGTTCATTTAGTGGAAAATTTATTTATTTTATTTTTGAATTTTACCTCGCAACCTGTATTAATGGCAATTCAGGTAGACGGTTGTTCCAGGGGTTTAAGAACCAAATTCATTAGCAGAAGTGGATACGTTGGTCTTGCGACCATCAAATTTTCATTCTTTTGTTCACACTAGTCGTCGAAAAATGGTTTAGAAGAGCCTAGTTAAGCTGAAAAGCTGACTGAAACCAAATCAGCATTCATAAAAACCTTTCGGAAAAATGAAAAGGAATTTTTAAAGCACCACCAAATTAATAAACCCCAAATAAGTTAGATTATAATAACGGTCCCCGGCAAAATGGACTGCATGAAATTCCACGAAAATCGTTGGCAAGGCGCTCCCGCGCGCGGGGCGAACGGGTGAATGGGCGGCCGGGTTTTTCGTCTTTTATTGGCTGACAGGTGGGGAGAGAGCGGGAAGCTGGAGAGACATTGAGAAGGAGAGATAAACGGAACGCGAGCGAACTGTAGCCGATAAAGGGACGGGTAGGACGAGCCGGGCAACGGCACAAACAAAAAAAACGCTCGCGAGAACCGGATTTAAGAGAACTGGGGTACCCCGGCAGCCAAGGTTATTACTTGGGACCAGGCCCGTAGCGGAACCGAAATTTCGGGGCCAAATGGCGACCTCCCCCGGTCGCCACTTTTAAAACTCCGAATCGCGTCAATGGCGCCGCGGCAAAAAGCAAAAGCGTTCACTACACTCTAATTCGTGTGAAAACCGGCAGAAAGCGCCGCAGGCAATTTTGGAAATAGGCTCATATAAGTAAAACAGTAATAATAGCGCTGCAGGCAGAAATGGCTAAAACTGGGTCCCCCTTATGTTTTCGGCCTCGCCGTTTCGGGGGCCCGGGGGCCCTGGGCCCCCTCCTGTTGGGACGAAGAATAATGAAAAAAGCAATTACTGTTCTATTTCCGGGGGGGGTATTGGTTAGATTTTTGTCATGACATTACCATTTTCTATCTTTGACGTACTATCAAACGGTGCTCGTAAAACCTTAAGAAAATATCGAAAAATCGGAGACTAGCGTTATTTATGGTGTAACTTTTTTATAATACGCCCTTTTTAGGTTAAATAAAAACCCTTAGTAAATTTGTGATGCTCTATCGAATCAATGCAACAAATTATTACCTTTCACCATATCCAAAATGGCCAGCCGATCCTCGAGCCCCTGCCGCACCCAGTTGAACATCCTGCGAAACGTTTCGCGCCCGCTTTTCAGCTTGTTCCACGGCTTGGGATTCCGCAACAAATCCGACAACGTGCCCTGACTTCTGAAAAAGAGGAAGATTGTACCGGTTTCCAGAGGTGAAACGACCTGCAAAGTATCCGCTCGGCAAAGATGGCTTGGGGGATCGAGTGCTGCTTCAGCTCGTAGGCGATTCGTTTACACAGCTCCTAGAAAGGTAAAAAGCATGAAAAATGAACTGGCAAATGTACCTTGGTGTCAATATAGATGTCATCGTCAATCTCGGCGTTCAACGGGTCGTTGGCGTCCTTTGTTGAGTAGGTTCGTTTGCCTGGAAATTGGGAATAAAATAACTCTTCAGTTGGTAGTTTTTAACCAAAAGAAACTGTTTTTCTGTTCCGATATTTGTCCCTTTCAGATCAAGCTCTACCATCATTTTGCCATTGTTTCCACACGGGCTAACAGGGAGGCGTTTTTGAGTGACAATCGAGTTTCTGGCCTAGCTTGTGCAAAATTTTGCACCGATTCCGAGCATGTTTTCAAAATCTACGGAACAATAAGCTTCAAACAGTTAGGAACCTTTTCAGTGCGAAAAAGGCCTGAAAATCGCCCAATTACCGGAAATTTTTTGCCTTTTCCCCCTAAAAAGCTTCATAACTTTTTCAGCCTGATTGTGTCGCAGCTTTTCAAAACTGGCTCGGAATCAGCGCAAAAATTCTGCACCAGATAGGCCTAGTCCCGTACAGGAAATTGATTGTCACTCAAAAACGTCCCCTTGCAAGAAGTCTCGTCCTCTATTCTCCGTTGACTCCTCGAAAAAGCTAAATGGCCGCAACGGGCCCTTTAAATGCGCGCTTTCCCCGCTGGAGTTGCCCGAACGCCGCCCCAAGCCAGCTTATCAGCGGCGACTATCTGGCTGTGCCAAGCTTTTCCGCCGGCCGGAGTCAAGCCCCCCCCCCCCACACCCGGATGCATAAACCCCGCGAGAGAGCGGGCCCAGCTGGGAGGGCGTAGAGATTACGAAGGCCGTAGGTGCAGGATAGAATGGAGGACCCAGACGGGGAAGGGCCCAAAATTTCCGAGTTCGAGGGGCCGCCCCTTTATGCCGAGGGCGATGCCCCAGCGGGCCGTCCATAAACAACCATGCCCCCTCCCCCTAGAGATCCCACAACAATCACCCGCACATGGCTTACCAGGGAAAGCCGAAAGGCCCGGAAAATTGACAAAAATTTGGAATGAACCACGCCACGCGTTTCTCTTTTCTCAAAATTTGCTCTAGGTATTTATAAGGCAAAAACGGCACCAAAAAGCTGAACCTTTTGCGCTCGCTTAAATAGTTTTAAGCCCCCGTATCAAAGTTTATAAAAACCGAAAAATGCAGCATCCTTGGTTCATAATTGTGCCAATTTCGAGCTCGTGCTCCCGAGCTCCTAAGCTAATAGGCTTCTCTCCAGCGTTGTAGCCTAATTAGCCTGTTTACCCCGAATTGCGCCTATAGAACCGATCTAAATCTATGATCTACCTAACTAAAATCAAATAAATAAAAAAAATAGTCATTAAATTGTCGGGAATTTGGGAGGATACCAATTTCGGGTTCTGGTTCGTTAGGGGGGAAACAGTTTCCGTTCAATAGCTTCGTTTAGCTTAAATTACATTATTTTGAGCTGTATATACAACTCCTAGTATATTTTTTTGATTCTCTATCCAATAGGGGCAACATAATGTCGAAAAATAACGAAAAAGCTACGACATTAAACTCCCCCCCTCCCCTCTGCTAACGACCCAGAACCCGATTTGGCTATGGTGAACGGGGCAGCCAAACAACTGATAATAGGTGATTTTTGGAAGCCCCTCACCAATTTTCACGCTAAATTTCACGGAGGGCTGAAATGCACATTCTCGAGATGCCAACCCGTGGCATTTGCCTATTTGCGCGATGCTATCTCGGTGTTGTCTTCCGTGTGCTTTTTTTGTAGGTGAGCGCGCGTCATTCCATCCTAGCCATACTCACGTCCAAATTTTACGGCCCAACCTTGACCATGGCGGGGCTGAGGCGGGAGAAGGGATGGGCGGAGCAACCCCGGGCAAATGCATTAGGTAGCAACGGGGGGTATGGGAAGGCACACGGGCGTTGGAGTTCCTATTTCATGTTGACACAAATGGGGGTCTCACCCTGCCCATTTTCAGGGCGACTGCTACTAACTAGAAGATGCTAAATAGGCCAGCACCTAGCTCGGGCTCAAAATTGACGCCGGTACAACGCTGAGAATTTTATGATTTTTAAAATTTTCGAAATCTAAAAGTGGGCCAACTCACGAAAAACGCTGCAAAATCTTCAATTTTGGTCAATTTGGGCTTGCTTATAAGGGTTTTCAAGGCTTTTTGCAGATTTTAAAAATAGTGAACTGTTCAGCACTGGGACAGAAATGCAACAGGACACATGCCAACCAATTACCCCATTAACGCACGACGGCCTAATTAGTCAGCCAGGAGCAGCAGCTAGAAATAGCCAGGCCCCGGGCATTCATTAGTGTCTTCCACGGCGGTCTCACGACACTTGCGGCCTTTCAAATTATGTTTAAAAATGTTGCATTACATCAATCTTTTGAAAAAATTGGAAGTTATCTAGGACAAGTTTGTTAATACCAAAAATATCTACCAAAAAATTAGCACTAGCAATAATAAAGCAGATTTTTCAGAAAATTTTTGGCCACAAATGCCGTGACTTGGGCGAAAAAGCAAGAGCCGAAGCTCCTACTCACCCTTGTTGTAGGCGGGTTTGTAGACGGTCGACTCGCCGTTGATCACGTGATCGCCGTTCGTGTGGGGACCCTCGAGGCCGTCGTCGTCCTGGAAAAACTTTAACTACGTTGCGAAGAGCGCTCGTTGAAAAGTCTCGGGTTGGGTAGGTCATGTGCTTTTTGGCCGGTAGATTTCTACGTTTTCAAAGCGTTGCCAGACCATCCCAACCCCCCGGGGGCGGGCGACGCAAATTAGTAGGGCATACGTGGTGGGCGTCAACGACATTCAACGGAAAAGGATTCACCGTCTTCATCGCCGTCAACCGGGACAGCACCATCGACCCGCTCGGCACCGACGTGTAGTGGTGGACGGGGGAGTCGCCGCCTTGTAGATGCTGAAAATTCTGGAATTTATTAGCATACCGTTAACGAAGTTTGTAAGAATTTATCGTCGTGTATTTTGCCAGGATTTATAATTTAAAGCGCGGTAAAATTGGCACAAATATCGAACCCACGATGCTGATATTTATCTATTTTCAAGATCTATTATATGAGCTGAAAACTAGAGCCATGCACGCTCAACTCTTTGAAATGTTGTGGTTTTCGATTTTGAGCATGTGTCTCCCGAATTTAAAAAGTCTATAGCATTGTTAGCAATATGGATATCATCAGCACCAGAATCGGCCACGTCGGCTCGCTATCTGGCCACCCTGGGCCTCCCTAGTAAATCCATCCAAAAAACCCGGCTCTTCCGATAACAAATTCCTTACCGGATCGCCAATAATGCTCGAAATCATGTTCGATGCCAATTCGGCGGTGCTGAGCGCCGGCGGGGTCGCGGCGTTAGCGCGGTCGAGGTCGGCTTGGTTGTGGCCAATCACCTGGTTCGAGGGGAGCATTAAATGGTGCGAGGGCTCGATGTCGGCCTCCTCCTAAAGGAGCGGGTTTAATAAGCATCGGAACCGGGGCGGGACCGTTGATCTGTACAAGAAATGGGTTTTTAGGCGTTTGGCAGCGAAAAGAAATATGAAAAAAATATTTAGATCTATAAAAATCTCCAATATAGCTTGTACAACGCAACGCCCGAAAAAATGGGTGGGGCGACGCTAGGAGTGATTATAAATCTTGATTTTAAGGGCGAATTTGAAGGGGTAAAAAGTCAAAGTGCCGCGAAATAGAATAAGCCGACAAACTATGCTTTTGCTACGAAATTACATCTATAACTGTAGAACAAATGAATTCTGGCGTAATTCACGTTGGCGTAACTTCCGGAATCGATGAAAAAAATCCTAACCACTCCTCCTAGCCTCGCCCCCGGCCCCACCCACAAAACACAACCTCAATTTTTGGCTTGCGATCAATGACGTGTGGCTGTCTGTAATAGGGTGCAGTGCATGGCGGGTATTCTGGCGGTTGCTGCCCAAAATAGTGTCCGTGCTCGTGGTGCGCAAGGCCATATTGTGCGGCACACGACGTCGGATACGGATTTTGCCCGTAAACCGGGTACATCCGGTTGCGGTGCTGGGGTGGCTGGTGGCGAACCTTGATGTAGACGCCGCGAGAATACTCATTGGCGCCGACAGAGTGTCGCCGCCCATCCATATGTAGCGGGGAGAGCAGACCGGCTGGGCCGTCGCGAAAGCTGGAAAAGATCGTTAGATTTTCATAAAAAACGGCTTCGCCTAGCATAGAAAACTAGGTTAGGGCTTGTAATAGAAAACCTGATACCTTTGATCGGTACCGATCGTCATCGGAGCGAGTGGCGCCAGTTGAGGGCTTGAAGTCGCTGTGTCGCCGTGGAGCATCGCCGGAAGCGGTGCCGTTGCCTAGAAAATAGAGCATATTCAAGGACTGTAACAAGCAAATTCTGCATCGTTGTTGAGTGGGTAAAAGAAATCTCCTGTTTTCTAACACAAATAAAATAAATCAACTACTAGCTACTGGTCATAAAGCTAATAAAACCACAATATTCATGTAGTAATAAAGTTCTAGTACCCTTTTAATGCATTCTTTTCAAATCGCCAAATCTTATACAAAAACTTTCTTAGCGTCTAACAATGCTATTTACATACTGTTTAAAGGTTTTAAAACGTTTCTATTAATGTTTGTATTATTAAAAACAGCCAGGCGGTCGGTTAATTCTCTATACCTCATTAGTGAGACAATAAAAGGGGGGTCTGGTTCCCTGACAACGATCCCGGTCTCTACAACCGTAAAAGGTCAAACAAGACGCAAAACAAAAAAGCGATCAGGTCAGACAGTACGAATAAGGGGTCAGCACTGACAATCAGATGGAGCTAATTGTGTCGTCATCCCTGATCATTTTGGTCTTGTCCACGGGTGGGGGTCGAACCCGGGTCGCCGGGGCGCTAGTCCGGCACGCTAGCCACCATGCCAAACGGGCGTGGGGGCTGGGGTGGCTGGGGCGCCTTTGGCGCGTCAGGTTTTGCCGGCGGGAGGCATGGGACGTAGGATGCTAACATCCAGCGGGTTATATAAAGTTATTAGGTGCCAAAAGCTTAATAATAAACTTAATGTTTATTATTATTATTATTAAACTTGTTAATTAAGCGGTCAGGGTGTAAGGTTGAAAACCACGCAACACCACGTAAGCATTTTAGAAAAGCAGCTCCACCGCATAGCTCATGGTTCAAAAATCATCCTGTCGACCTTGAGGCAAAAGAAGAAATAATCTCGAAGCCAATTTTTTACGTTAAATTTTGTGATAGTTAATGGACGATGTTAAAACGGGGTTCTAAAGCCACACCTGCAAGAAGCTAGGAATCACCTGCTGGGGGCTGATCGTCTCGAGAAAGTTGTCCGGGAATCCGTCATCAATCCCGGAGGACCCGGAAATAAACGCGGACGACGGGTCAATGTTTAGGTACTCGTTCGCATTCCGCCGTCCTTTTTCCACGCGGAATCTGAAAATATTTAGAAGATCGTTCAGCAGACATAGGGTGGATTAGTGGAAGATTTTGAAAACTCGTTCCAGACATACCCATTATTAGTGGATCCCTGTGAAGTGACGGCCGGCTCCATATCCCGAGTGTTTCACAAAACTTGCGTGTGGCGCAACCAGGTCGGCTGCTAGGTGGTGAGTTGTCGCGAACACGCTGAAAAATGATATTAATCAAAGTCAAGTGAAAATTAGACGAAAATAGAACTATAAGAAAGGGGTCGTGACAAGCCGAGATAAATCGAGCGTCGTAAAGGTTTAGCAAACGTTAGAACCCTAGCTCTAACTAATTTCTTCTAAGGTTCTAAAAGCAAATCCTTCACAATTCAAGCTTTTTTATTGTTAGCAGCTAGTCGGCACATTAGTCTTAGTAGTCACAGGTCGAGTATTATAAAAAAAAGCCCACAATTTAAGCTTTTTTTTCATTGTCAGTGGGTAGTTATAACTAATGCCTATCGAGGGTTATAACAGAAAAGAAAACATTTGAAGCTTTTTTATGGTTAGCTATTGAAACGCCAGGGCCTTGTCTTTCAAAAGCGTAACAAGGTCTCGCTTAGGTAATTTTCGGCTGTATGCCAAACAGACGAACAAAAAGCTGGATAAAAACCCTGACTAAACATCAAATTTCCCTAAACCGACTGTCAGTAATGGGGGCAGAGAACGTTCAAACAGAGCCAAAGAACAGAAAGCGCGATTCGGAAAGTATAATCGGGGGTTGTTAGCCGGAACAACCGGCCGACGTCACACCCCTGAGTCGCGTGACGGTATCCGGATAGGGCGTAAAGTGTATCTCGAATAGATGAAGCCGTGGGGCATGTATTCCAGGGCTTTATGGGGGTTGCTAGATGGCGTAGAACGCGGGTCCACTGCACAAAACGCGACGCGCGCGACGCAAAAGGTACACGCGACGCATCGGGGGGCCCCTCTCTCCCTCTCGCCTCGAAAGAGAGACGAGAGAGTGGGCATTGTGTGGAGGGGGCAATGGTAGGCATGGCTGGCACGTTGCCAGTACCCTCTGCAAGGGGACTCAACCACAAACAACACAAAATATCGGCAGGGGATTAGCGAAAAGCGTCCAAAAGTGGAATTTTAAGGATGAAGTGTGTTAAAATTAACAAAATTAAAAGGTTAGCTATTGGGTGTTTCGCCAAATGGTGGCTGTTTGGAGCAGCCTAATAGAAAACCAGCGGCTAGCCGGCTTGGCGTTAGCAAATGTCGGATCCGATCGGAAGTAGATTTTCTCAGTAAAGTTTGTATGATAATAAAAATCGTCTTTTGTGTTAAAAGTAATACATCGTAATCGGTAGTTTAAGCTATCAGAGCATACCTTATAGCAGCATTCTTTAGTTACGATCCAAATACTTTCAGTTATATACATAAACCATAGCAATATTGGCTGATTGCCCTATTCGACGACTAAAAAAATAATTTTCATAGCACGAACTTTAGCTTATTCCATCGAAGAAGACTAAAAGCTTTTAAAGAACTAGGATTAGGAACTCTGAAAATTATAAGTTTTTAAAAAAGCTGTCCCGTTAAAAACAAAGCCATTGATAAAAGCCTAAGTCGAAAGTTTCTCCAAGTTAAATCTCGTTACCATTTCGGAAGTTTTCGTAACGTTTTCACGATTCAGGTATACAAGTGGCCCCGAGTGAGCCCTAGATGGGCACGCTAGCCACTAATCTAGCCGATCTACCGGTCGGGCTGTTCCGCCAATTGTGCGACTGCCTGAATGCTGGCCAGCTATGGGTGAAGCTGCTCGACGGGGAGAAGTCAAATTTATACTATTTGAGGTGGGCTAGATGGGCGAATCGCTGTGGATTGCTGGTTTATGCTAGATATTCTGGTTTTAAAAAAAGATAACAAAAAGCAATTTTGACGTAAATTTTTTAGCGCCGACGAAATGGAGCGGTACGCCAGGTTGCCCGATCCGGCCGAGACGCTGCTTAGAATCTGGGGAACGCGCGGTCAAACCGTGCAGCATTTTCTGGTTCGCCTGCAGGTAAGGCACACACATTCGCAGATATATAGATACATATATCACAAAAATGCCAAGCTTTTTAGGCATTGTCCAGGGTGCACCGCGAACTAATGGACCGGCCGCAATTGGTGCTGAACCGGGCTTTTAGTAGGTTATTTATGTTCAATTTTCAAAGATTTACTCCCAAATAGAAGCGGTACGATGGGCGAAGAGCGAGAAGGTCGAGATTTCGATCATTTCTGATGGCACCGAGATGCAGCTCGTTTGTAAAGGTTTGATTTAGTTGTATTGGTTGATTACTAATACTTCGAAAGAAGTGTTATCTGTATTGTAATTAAATACTTTTCATATAGGTAACGTAACTATGAAAATGCTATTAAAATAGGTCTAAATCTAATATTTTAGTGATTGGTTTCCCCTATCCTCGATTCCAATGGCTTTGCGGAGGGGTGGCGATGGACGGCGTCAATACGGATACGTTGATTTTACCAAGGTAAACTTTCAAGATTGGTAACATATATTTTTTTAACGAAACGAAGTTATTCGATTGTTTCAACGCCTTGCTTTTCAGATGCAAATGCTCGACGGTAGCCCAATACAACTGCAAGGCGTGGAACGAAGTACCGCCCGGCCTGCCGAATAGCGACCACTATCGAAAGCCGGGGAAGATGTATAGGTAATTTGATTTGTAGGTTCTTATAAATACCCTTTTTTTCAGTTCCGATCTCGAATCCGGCGTCGTAGAGTTGGAGGCGTTCATTGGCGACGACAATCGGTGCGAACAATGCGAGAGTCAGGAGTATCAGAAGCTTTGTGAGACGATGGGCACGCTCAACCAGGCCGAGACCGAAACACCGACACCAGCGCGGAGAGGTAGGGGTTGAAACTTTCGAAATATAGCTTTTTTTAGTGCTGGACACGGTGGCGAGTCTGCATGCGACCGATAAGGTGGCTCTGATCATCTCAAATTGTTCGTATCGAAACTTGCCCGAGTTGGTGACGCCCTTGTGCGACGCGGAAGCGCTGGCCCAGGTTTTTACTTTTTTAGCTTTTCGTTTTGTTCTTTCAACTTTGGGTTTTCTAAATCTTTACCTTTTCTATCGCACAGAAATCTAACAAAATTCAACGTCATCAATAACATCTTAGAGCCTACAAGATATCAAGTTCAAAACGGTGACCCTGGCTGATTTGACGTTGGAGGAGATGCAGAAGATTGTGCGCGAGTACAAAAAACTGCTGGGCAACGGAGTTTACGGTAAAAGAAAAGCGCGAAAATATCTGGGCAATTTACAGCGGTCTTCTACTTTGTCGGCCACGGTTTCGAGGTGAATGGACAGTGCTATTTGTTACCAATTGGTAAGCTATTGAAGTTTTTAAGAATGGTTGCTTAACCGGTCGCAAAAATAACCCATTCCAGACGCTCCTGAAGACGCGCATACTCCGGAAAAATGCGTCAGCATGGACTGGGTGCTCAGCGTCTTCAACGATCAGACCCCGGCGCTGCATCTGATTCTGCTGGACGTGTGCAGGAAATTTTTGCCGTACGTGTGACCGTATATCGCTAATGCGAGTATCCCAGGCTTGAAGCGGTGAAGGGCTTTGTCGACTACGCCGAGCAGTTCAAACGTCGGCTTCGACCAAATCGGAACACAATCTATGGATATTCAACGTGAGATTCGCCAGGCGTATTCCAGCTGAATTCTTTTAGAAGCGGCGGCGTCGGCGCCTACGAGGTTCGCGGGGAAATCAACGGCGTGTTCATGAAGTATTTGAAGGTATTGAAGGCGTGCCATATTTTAAAGTTTTTTTAGAATCACTTGCCGGTGAATACGTCGGTGATCGACATGTTGAATCGGGTTTTTAGAGGTACGATTAAAAAATAAAAATATTTGCAAGTTTATTTAGATATTGAAAACGATGCGCGGGTGATGGCCGTGCAAATCCCTGAGCTCAGGTCGACAATGACACAACCAAGGTGGGAAAACAGACAGTTGACTAGCGGACTTACTGGAATAAGTCCCTGGGTTGTTAGCGGCGATATCTAGCCGTTTCAGCGCTTATAGTTTTTTTGAAGTGTTTTTAGTAGTTTTTGACCGCCAAAACCTCATAAAAATGCAAGAAAATCATAAAAATTGTAAATTCTTGAGTATTTTCATACCTTTTTGATCTTATTAACTTTATTTTGACCAATTTAATGCCAGGAGTCTGCACGACGAGTTGATTTTCGATGGGCACACCGCATCCTACGATCATCACACGATACATTGGCGGTTAATGCACGGTAAGCAGCTTTAAAAAGCGGGGGTGGGAGAATGTCTGCGTTTACGGTTACACCAGTTAGAAAGTATGCAGTATAAAGTGCAAAAAACTAAACGTACTCGCTCTATACCACGTTATTAAGGTAATAACGAGGTGAAATTAATAATTTGATGTTGTAAGTGCTAGTCTGCCCATCATCGCTATTTTGTCTACTGGATCTTCTACAACGCTAAACTACAAAGTGCAAAGTGTATTAAGTAATTATACCCTTAAAGAAATAGTTTAACCTTATAAATTTCGAATTTACAAATCGCGCGAGCGATACACTCAAAAAATAAATTTTCTAGAACTTCCCAATCCAGTCATCGTGCGCTTTCACGAACACAAACTGAAGGCCACCGTCTTTTTCGACTTTTGCGGCCACTTCACCAACAAGGTGAGCATCAAATCGGCCGATAACAACCGATACCAAAAATTTAGGTCTATGTCTACTCCTCAGTGGGTGATATTTTGAGGGAAGAAGACGTTGATGAAGAGGCGCCTTTGTCGGAAAATGCCAGGTCGCACCTGGCGTTACTCGAATTTCCGGATGTAAGTGCGGGTTTAAGTCAAAAATTTAAAACTGATTTGTAGTTCGTCACCGTGTCAAAAGCAAGAATTTTTGAAGACGATGAAGAAGGGGTATCCGTCAGGGTTCTACTATCTCACCTGCAGCGCTTCAAGGTTGGCAAAAACAAATCAGTCAAGCCAAGCTTCCGTATTTCAGGGAGAAGTGAGCTGCACGGTGAATTTGTGCATAAAGGACAAGGACAAGCCGGGTGATGTCGTCGCCACTGCCGACGCGGAACTGGGCCATGTGCTCATCACAAGATTGGGGCTTCTTCGCTAGCGAAAACATTACGATGTGATCAACTGCCAAACGGGTCTATTCCATAATTATTCGCAATTCGGGTGAATAAAGAATTATATGTATTGACGAACCAATACTACGTACGGGGCAGAAATAGGGGGAAAATGTTTTTCATAGTAACCATCATTTCTTAAATATTAATAGCGGAAGTGTTTTTAAACTTTTTTTTTGGCAAGAGTTCAGTTTGCCCCCCAGGCACCCAACTTTTGTATCTCGATTACCTATTGATCTGCAGGTGTGTAAAGTATACCAAAATGTTTGCCTTGCTCTCGCGAGTATTTTGGTATACTTGACACGCCTGTAGATAAACAGGGAGCCGAGATACGGTAGGTGGGGTCGGCTGGGGGGGGGGGGGGGGAGGGGAGGGAGTAAACTGAACCACAGCCCTTTTTTTTGCTCTTGCTAAGCGTAAAAACTTGACAAATTTTGATTAAGACATTTAAAAAATATGGATTTTTCGACCAAAAATGGCCGTTTTTGATTGTTTTATTGATTTGCTTGTAGTATAATTTATCTATCTTTTCAGCGGAAAAAACCTAAATAAAAAAACAGTAGAAACACTTGCTCTATTTATATGTTGAAAATTGGGTACTGATGTAAAAGTTCGCCCCCCCCCCCGATAAGACGAAAGCACCCGAATTATAAAATTTGAGTAAAAAATATGACATGGGCTCCATGAATTAAATTTATCCTGCTTTTTCGGCTAGCATTCTAACGACGTTTTGCCAAAATCTTGACTGAATAATGGAAAAGAGGCGTGGAGAAAGCGTCGCAATGAAAAATGCATGGTTGCCGGCTGGGCAACATATGGCAAGCCCGTTTTGGGCCTCAGTGAGCCCTTATTACCCCCGAAATTCTTCCAAAACGATGTCGGCGCTCAGCAATTTTTTGCCGCTAATCGCGTTATCGATAATCTCGCTTGTTGCCTATCAATTTGGGTGTGGACTGTGGGTCTTTATCGTTTCGAGGTGTCGAAATTAGTTCGGAAATCTGTCCTGTCGCATTATCGGGGGGGATGAAAATTCTTTCTTAGGAACCAATTTTTTTAAATATAAATGCGGAAGTGTTTTGAGCTGTTTTTATTATTCTTAAACGTAAAACCTTTACAAATTTCTATTGAAAGAGTACAAAATTTCGATTTTCGACCAAAAAATGGCCGTTTTTGAAAATTTTTAGATGGTTTTCCTAGCTAAATACAGTTTTATTTTACTAAAAGCATTTATGAAACATTTCCTGTTAAATTACTAAGATTTCATTATTAATACAACCCCCCCGCTAATACGAAAGAACCTGGAAATGATATTTCTACAGGTTAAACCTGGGGATAAATCGCCGAGTGTACAACCATGTGCCCGGTGAGTGTACAGTTGCCGGGGCTTTCGAGGAGGGTATCGCTGGAATGGATACCACAGTTGATGGGATTGTTCTAATCAGCACGGTTAGTCTTATTAGTGCTCTAATATATTTTTTAATTAATGATTTTTAGCTCTCTCATTCGCAATTCGTGTTTTAGGGCCAAGACCTGGAAAATCGCACGGCCCCCACTCGAGCGGGCAGTATTTTTGGGCTGTCAACGGTGGGTGAGACTTGAGTTTTTTGGAAAGTTTCCTAGTAGAAAAGGCGAATTTTTTGTTTATTTGCTCTTATCAGCGAAATTTATAGGACAACAAAAGTTCATGGGAGTTGACCCGGATTGGTGGGCCCGAGAAGCTGAATCCGGGCCCGATTTCGCTGTCTTTCCAGCAGAAGCGGCAGCAAAAAAACCAAAAGTATGTATCTGTAATTGTAGAATGAATTACTTTTAGGCTTTTCCTCATCAATTATCGAAAGCGTGGCGACAGCGTGGAACGATACAAGGTGCACGCGGGCTTGAAGGTTTTGCAGCACGAGGCTACGGTCAGAAGCCCCCATTTTGCCGAGTAGGTTAAATGTTATCATTTTTACTTTATATCATTTACATATCATTTTTAGTACATAAAACGTTTTTATATTTTTTTTTTTTTTTTTTTATGTTTTTAGTGAAATAAAACTATATTTTAACTGGAAAAATTATCTAAAAACTTGGAAAATTTTTTTAAAAGTGGAAATTTTGGTCAAAAACGGCCAGGCCAGACATCGATAATTTTTTGCAGTTTTTATAACAATTTGGAAAAATTTTACGTATAGGAATATAAAATTTCGAAAAATCTAAATTTTTTTAAAAAGCCGAAATTTTGGTCAAAAACGGCCATATTTGGCCGAAGAATCGATAATTCTTTTGTTTTTAATAGCAATTTGTAAAGTTTTGACGTTTAGGATTAATAGAAAATAGTTTAAAAACAATTCTCTATATATATTTGCTATACTTCCTATGCGAAAGAACCGTTTTTTCTTTCACTAGAACATTTTAGCCTCCGTGGTGTCGCCGCAGTAGATGATAGCCGTTTCTACGCAACACGCTACACCGGCACCCAGCATCGATGGGTGCAAAAGATTGAGAAGTTGCTTGCCGCACTTTTCCGAAATTCCCCTGATTCGTTCTAGGCTGTTCGCCTGGGAGACTGGCCAGGTTTTGTTTTACGACGGGGCGACGACACGGATCGTTGACGCGACGATTTCTTCGCCCGCCGGCATCGCTTTTGATTTGATGAGAAGGTAAGTCGGAGAAACATAAAAATGTGTCCAGATTCGTCTTAAAAGTAGTCCCGAGCAGTTCCACGCGTTATTTTGTATAATAGGTTCTTTCGCATTACCGGGGGGGGCATTTTTTGTATTAATCAATAAACGCCTAGTAGCTAAATAGGAAGTATTTTCATATTGTTTTTATTAAGATAAACTAGATTTTAACTATTCTCTTTCTTTTCTCTTTAAATTTTTCAAAAATTCGAGATTTTGGCCAAGAAACGGCCATTTTTGGTCGGAAAGTCGATATTCTTGCTTTTTTTTAATAAAAATTTGTAAAGTTTTCCATTTAAGAATAGCAATAAATGGTTTCAAAAAATATTTTAAAAAGGCGCTCCTAAGAAAAAACATTTTCTTCGCCCCCCGATAATGCGAAAGAACCGTATAATGTTCTAAGAGAACTGCTGCACTAACCATTATGCAAAAGCCAAATTGACTTGTTGCTTTGATTTTAGATACCTTTACGTGGCTTCCCATCTCACCGAGCAAATTGTCATCTATCAAGTGCTGGTCAACTACGAACTCCAGAAATTGAAGGTGAGCATCTCTTTGCAATGAAACATATTTGCAGTCGATTCCGCTGAAAACGATGCCGTATTCGCTGTGGGTTGACGTTGATGGGACGCTTGTTACGACGGCCCATCCGATAAAGATAAGGTGAGAATAGGCACGGATTTGGCAACCGTTACGCCCTCGCGCCCCTTCACGCCCTCCGAATACGCCCCGAGCCTCATTTAACGCTGAAATAACGCCCCAAACGGCTTTTTCCTGTAAATAACGCCCTTTTCGTGGCTTTGGAGGCGTTAATACAGAAGGGCGTTAAATACAGGGCGTATTCGGGGGGTACGGAGGGGGAAGGCGTGTTATAGGTTGCCCTCTTCTCGGATAGAAAACCGGACAGGGAAGTTGGTACGAGGCGCGCCCATACACGCTCAACTGCCCACGAACGGTGTAATTCGTACTCTTCAAGCGGAAAATCCCCAAATTTTTTCTTTAAAGTAAAATTTTTAGAAGTTTTAAAAAAAAAAAAAAAAAAAAATAAATGAAAATTTTCTTCGCAAAATTGCGCAGCTTTTGTGACCGAGTATCGAAAAATATGCTAGCGGTATTTTAATGAAATGCGAGCTTAGGAAGGTTCCTATAGAAAAGTACCGGAATAGATAATTATTTCAGGCATTTCTACCAGGAAAGCAACCCTCAGGAGATTCACGCACCGACGCAGATTTTGAGGGTTCATCCGAGGCCCCGGTCGAATCAAACAACGTGGGTTTCGGACGTAACAATTTTCGGAATCCTTTCGTTTCGCCGAAGTGAATTTTGCCGAATTTGTTTTCGATAATTTTGACATTTTTTACATAGATAATTCTTCTAAATCAAATTTTTCGCAGGGCAGGAACTACAAAACAGTTCATAAAAATTTTGGCGACTAGAAAGTTGGCTAAATGACGTGGGACGAGATGAAATGTGGCGAAGCGAAATTCGACGCGATAAAATCTTTGCCCGAGTTATAGAAAAATCGAGCAACTCTACGCCAACGACGGGGCGTCGATCAGCAGCGCAACGGTGGCCGTTAGGCGAGTTGTTTTTTCATGGTTCTTTGGCATTATTGGGGGGGTGAGAAAAACAAATAGAAAAACTATCTAAAAACTATCAAAAAAATTTCAAAAAGTTACATTTTGGTCAAAAAATCTATATTTTTGCATCTTTAATGAAGATTTGTAACCTTTTTACGCTTAGCAAAAGCAAAAAAAAACAGTTTAAAAACTTTTCCGCCATTGGATTCCAGGACGGCCGACCAAATTCTGATGGGCAGCCCGTTCAGCGCGCTCGTCACCTGCCAAATACCGTTGCGGGGTTGGGCTCGGAAACCATGAATAAATGCATAGAATTGTGTTCAATTGTTACAAAGCCTTTTCCCGCGATGACGTCGCTGCATTTCACGATTCGGTAAAGTACGCTTCTCGCCACGAGGTACACACCAAAAGTAGGGGCCGGCGTTGACGTCTTCAGCGCCGCATTTCACCTGGGCTTTTCCGACTATTTTCCGCGAGCCAATATTGCAATTTGGCCACATCGAGCCTCGCTCAATTTCTATTTTCGCTAAAATGTTGGCTAGCGGAGTAAAATATGCTAAAAGCGTCTAGTGATGCGATAGAAAATCTTTACCGTGTTTTTTTCGACGTCTATTGGACAGTATTGGCTAAAACTTTGTCGAAAGTTCTGTACAAAGTACAGGACTTACGAGGTTTAATTGGTCTGTGGGGCGGGGGCCTTTTCCCGGGGTCCCGCAGCGCGCCCTACTACGGTAGGGAAATCGGGCGGCCTAGCTCTGTCCCGCATTTATGGGCCACTTCTTCCCTTCCCAGGGAGTCGTTGCCGCCGGTCATTTCCATGGCCGGTCGGGATTGAATAGGATCTGTGTGGTGGTTAGTCTACCCACAGAGCCCTGTTATCGGGTGATTTCCCTCCCCCGTGGATTCCCTACTTGTATTACACCCAGAGCTCTTTCCGCCCTTTCCTCGTCTTACTTCCAGTGGTTCTATTGGCCCTTTGTGTACTCGTCTCGGTTGCTCTTTTCTCTTCTTTATACTAATAAACCATTCTTATCCACACGTCTCTATTAGTGGTAATCGCATTGGATCTTATTCATGGTCTGCAGGGTCAATCTTTTGGCATACATTAGTCTTACAGACCTCCACTGACCCGACTACCCGTGTATAGGGAAGTGTGATGGGTCGTAGGAGGAATAGGTGGCAAATCCTTCGCGTGGGCATTATTGGGATATTTATTCCTAATAGTGCGGATTGCTATTCCTTTTCGACATGGTGCGTTGAGCCGTTTGAGATAGAACCCAGGTCAAGATCCAGTGCTTTTACTTTCCTTTTCCTCTTTCTTCTAATTATGGTTTTATTATTGTCCTCTTCTATTTTTCGATTACAAACAGAACAGCAACCGAGAAGAGCATCGAACTTCGGTTCCCAGATCATCAGCCCTTACACAAACAGTTTCGCAACCTGCTGTCGACGGATGGCCCTCGCCAGCGCCAAGCACCCCGTTGCCCCGAGAGGTACTGGCATTTTTAAACCCCTGGGTGCACGACTGGCCATCAGCTTATGGTCAATGTGCTTTGATTGCGGCACGAGTTAGAGCTAGTCTCAACTCCACGCGGTGTTTCAGCTTGAGGGGTGACGGGCGGTGAGTGGAAGCGTTACCAGTTTTTGAAGGAGTTGCTGTATGAGGACCAGATCGATGAAGCACTACGAAACCACTTGGTTTCCCAGATCAGCGTTTAATTGTCATTGCAAAGACAATTTTTCCAGTCAAATGGAACCCAGAAGAATTGCATTTACGACCAGTCGGCGGCCACCGGCGACTTTCAGCCCCGAGGCACTCCGTTACACCAATGGGCACTGGCACTATTGACGCTCGGGCGCACACTGGCCATCAGCATATGGCCGGGTGTTTACATTAAGCGGTAACGAGTTGGAGCAAGTCTCAACTCTACGCGGTGTTTCAGCCAGAGGTGTAGCGGAGGAAAGGAGGATCGTTTTTACATTTTTTTCCAGGAATTGCTGCATCAAGGAGATCCAGGTCATCCCAACATGAAGCCACCCAGATATTGTCGACGAATGTTTGGAGAACCCAGAGGCGCAACGAGGAGGAGCGAAGAAGGTTTTGGGCGCAAGAAGAGTCGGCCATCTACGCGTGACGGAAAAACAGACCGACACAGCAGGAATCTTGGCGCGGCCAAGCCAGAAGCACACTCCATTTCGCTCCCAGACCAGCCAAATTTTTCTTTTTTAGTTTCTCGTCGGCTGGCGACGACGCCCGAGGAAGGAAGACTTGCTTACAAACAGTTCAAGCCGTGTTCAATGCTGTGCGGAAGGAAGTAGCCCACATTTCCAGTGCTTCGCGACAATGCACATGGGCAAGACGATGAAGTTGCTGCTTTCCTCACACACAGATCACCGGTAACGATTTACAAATTTCGGAAGGTTGCTATTAGTCAATGGCCGTCGCAGCCGTTGATTTTTTGGCGCTGGAAGAAAGTTGTAGATCGCTTATTGAACCAGTTTCGGCAGTTTCACGAGGCTTTTGCGTGCCCACGGCCTTGGGAAAGTCGATGGCAAGCATTTGCTGTTCACACCCAGTCCACCAAAGTAGGACTAAATTCCTCCCACCATTTTGGTCTAACTTTTTCTTGAATTTATACTTTTTTCCAGTTTCTACCCTCGAAGATTGCATTCAATACAATCCACAAGATGCTAGAAGGTCTGCTGTACGTGCCCATACGCGTCAACACCTTGGCGCGCCGAGAGGGCGGTCCCTCACAATCATTTTTCACGCGCCGCCAACAGCTCGCCTTACAAACAGTCAAGAATGCAGCTTCGGACTACAAGATTTATCAAGAAAAACACACAGACCTTCGCTCCAGATCACAGAGAATACAAATATTACACAAGGAGCCTTTTTGAGCCCAGCGAATTCGTTCGCAAAGCTCACAAACAGTTTTTTCTTTCAGGTGTATTACAAACAGCCCTCTACTTCCGTGCTTTTCTCCAATCAGCCCCAATATCACGAAGAAAGAAGGAGTTTCTCATTGGCGATGTTGCAAGGATGGAGAAGCGGCTACGACGACGAGGCTATGAGACGCTAGCAACAACATGCTGATGGGGCGATGCAAGAGCAGAAAGGTACAGGTTTTGGTAGGCATTACCGCCAAGCTTGGGTGAAAGGGTTGTAGAGAGCAGCTCGCTGCCTTATCGACGGCCTTGAATCCTATAAGCTTTCGTTTGCGAGAGAATGTACGATTTTTTCGCAATCATTTCTCGAGCATTCGTTTCCAAAAACTCTGCCAATTTGTTTTTTGCTTGCCTTATATCCAGAACATCGCGCGGACTGTCTTTTGCCGAGGCCCAGCATCACGGAAAGAAGAAACAAACAGATCTTCGATTTCTCTTTGTATTCATTCCAGCGAGGACGCTTTCTTTCGCGGCGTCACTGCTTTTTTGCAAAATTTTTTACACACAGCTCTCTCTTCACATACTGCCCAGTCCGATCATTTACGCGTGATTCGGTACAGTTCGCCAAGAAGCAGGAGCTGCAAGACAAGATCAAGGCTATCACAGTTCAACCGCCCCGAGGAAGCAAATCTTTTCTGGATCCAGTTTACAATCAGAATATTTGTAGAGTGAATATCACTTGGTGGTTTTCATTCTACACAGATCTTCGTCCCATCCTTTCCCCTTCCCAGTCATCAAGTAATTGAAGACAAAACAGTGCCGTTGTCTTGCGAGATGCAAGAAAGGCTTTTTTACAGAGCAAAATCACATTTTCAGGCTATCGGTACCCATATCCCTTCACGCGCGCCTTTCCGGCGCTGTGTTGCGTTAACCGATCAAGCCCAGGACGCAACGCCTGCAATCAAGGACACAACTCGCCTCGCAATCGACAGCACTGCAGCTTTGGGACAGCTATTACATACAGATCTTCCATTCTTTTTGTATTCACTCCAGGCCGCATTTTCTTTCGTTGGCGACGCCACTGCCCTTTCGAAATTCACACACAGTCCAGCGCTTCACACGATCTTATCCAGTCCAATCCCTTGGGATCCGGGCACAGCACAACAACAAGAAGAAGACGCCTCGGACGACAAACATTGCGTTCAAGCAGTTCAGCACGCCACGGACGAAAGAAGCTTTGCCTCTGGACACAGTTTACGATCAGAAATTTGCAAGATGATTGTCATTCGTGACTTTCATTCTAAACAGATCTTCGTCCCCATTTCCCCACATCCAGTTCTCCAACAACGGACCTTGGCAAGGAATCGGTGGCTATTGCGCGGCTTTCGCGGGTTTATCCCCACGTTTTCAATAGCAATTGCCCCGAAACTGGCCAAATAACATTACGAACAAGAGAATTGTGATGCTTCTCTCTCCAGGCCTTCACTCGAATTACATCCAGCTTGCACAGAAGATTACAAGTTGAACAGCGCCAACAAGGAATCGCTGCCCGATCCTCTCGCGGCTGCCATGTGAAGCCAGGAAGAAGCCCAAGCGTTCGAAGTCTGCCACAAGCCAAGAGTTTTTGGCGTTGTGCACGAGGCTGTGAACAGGTCATTTCGTTTTGGGTTTTATTTTCAGGTTTCGACGTGCTCGGTGATCGTGACTGCGATTTCTTTCGCTTTCACACAGACCTGCACGAAACCACGCCCAGTACGCAATGTACACAGATCAGCATTTTCTACACGCACACCTTTCCCAGTCGCCAAGCAATTGATGACAAAACAGTGCTCTTACGTCAGCTCGTTCAAATACAGTTTGCAACCGCGGAAGTTTGCGCTTCCACGAACGTACATACAGACAACCTCGAGCAGGCGTTACTTCAACTTCACTGCAGCCTTGGGAAAGCTGATTTACCTCCAGATTCACCGTCTCTTCATTACACAGTTCGTGGTGAAGCTCTAAAGTCTAGCGACACAGCGCTACAGACGATTAAGGACTTCTCACAGCTGCACGCTGAATCCAAGGTTCACAGTACCGCGTTCAAGGACGATGCAGAGCAAAGTTTTGTTTTGATTTGCACAGGACGCTATGATGAAGGTTGCTTGTTTTTTGGCCACTTTCCAGATTCATCGTTTCTCCTCGTACGCAATAGCGTAGCATTTCGCGCTTTCGTACATTCAAATACAGTCACTCGAAGATGGAAGCCAAGATCCACAAGCAGCTTATCTAGCGAAGACATACGCGCAACCCTCCCAGTCCTGCCGCGATCGATGACACAGGAGTGTCGACAGAAGTATTTGTTGTTCAGGCCGTCGTCAAGTCTTTCCGAAGTTACGTTTCCATTCCAGGCTCACCCTCTGTTTTCC